CACATCCTTTTCCAGAATCCTGTCTCCTCCCTAGGGCTTAGTTCCGAGCTCTATAGTGGCCCCCTCACTTAAATGCCCCCCCTAAGGAAATGAGGGCCCAGCTTTCGTATTCTCTTCAGTTCCTGCCCCTTCCTGAGCTGCCTTGTAGGGTGCCCCCGTACCTTGCGATAGCGCTTGCAGCTGTTTTAGTCGAGTGTCAGTAGACCCAAGACGAGCATTTTCCCTTAGGTATTCGAGAGTTATTCACCTACGACAACCGCTTCCTGTTCCCGACAACAGTTTCTACGGATGTGAGAGTGATGCTCACTTCAGCCCTGTAGTGAGCATATCTGCATTATCTTCTACTTGAACAACCAGCCGCTTCACTGGCGCTCATTCTGATTGACCACATCGACGAAGCGGCTGCTCACCACCTCTTATCTTTCCACTAAGCGAGCACTCTAATCTTTTTCCAAGTAGTGGCCCTACCGGTTACAAGGCTTCTGTCAACCAAAGGGTGAGAGCGTAGCTGGAAAAGCACACACTTTGTGTCTTATTGGGACTAAGCCTTTTGAAGAAGATAAAGAAAGAGGAGATGTGATAGTGTGCACTTGTGAGAGCTCCCAGACATCACTACAAAACGCTGAACCGCCAAGGCTCACGGTTGACAGATGTCCTGAGACCAGCCCTACCGCTTTGCTTGAGCTTGTTTAGCTGTAGCGTTACACCCCTGATGCATCGAAGTGACGTATATGGCAAGACAAGTACTAGTTACTCAAGTAATTTTTGAGATGAGATCTTCTACAGGGAAATCATTGCATTGTAAGTAGAAACGCCGCAGTGAAAGAGAATTTCCACTCAGGGCATGGAGGAAATATTTCGAAATTGCAGAGAAGTTAGCCTTTGCTTTATAACGTGCGCGAAAGCAACCAAAACAATGCAATTTTCTCCAATAATGAAGTCTCAGCCTGATATGATTCATGCATGATAGATCGCTGCACGAACTATGATCAGTTTTGATAATGATATCGCGCCCGAACCAACAACTCTCTCCACAACAACCCCAGATGAGTCCATACATTTGCTACAAACTTCGTGGAAAGATGCCTGGGTCCCTAGTCGGGAGATATGAAGTGTTACCTGAGCAAAAGGTAGCCAGGGAAGACAGTATAAGGCGTTCGAATAGGCGCCAAATTTGGTCCGTCCGCATCCTGGTTGAAACACCTCCATTGCAGGCTTTTTATTATTTTTTCAATTCTTTCTTCCAATACAAACTTAACATACTATAGACCCCATTTCTGTCATTTCCGGAGCCATCCGACTGAGTGGGATTGACGGAATTAAGTGGTTCGTCCGGTGGAGGCGGAACGAATAACTTCAAATATACTTGAAGCAACAGTCCCAGCATCTTTTTACCTTCGACACTAATGGTGTGGAACGATGCGCTAGCCCTAGTCAAGAACATAAAAAGTGTGACTGAACAAAAAAACCTCACTTGGAAAGCTAGAAAGGGAGCTGAACAGCTTCGAAGTGGGCGTGGTTATCAATCGGCTGCAATCATCTCCTCAAGGGCAAAGTTCGCTGAGTGGCTGAGCAGGATATCGAAGCACCGCCGCCCTAAAAGCGATTGTCCGCACAGCTACTTACGTTTAGTAATGGTGAATTTGGACGAGAGCAGAGTCCTGGGCCACAGCATTACCCAGTTTGAGCAACTTGAATTAAGTGTGAGGTTTTTGGCATGGTATTATTGCAATTAACGCGTTGCCGCTTTGAGCTCGCGTTAGGTTATAGGCCTCCCCTTTTCTAAGCTGTCACCTGTTCATGAGTGAAAACCAACGGCCAAAAAAGGGGTTCCCATTTTATTTTTTGACGGATTTCTCCGCTTTTTTCGCCACCGACGTACCATTGAGCACCACCACGTCTCCTTTAAACCTTCTTGAATCTATCGTAATGGCTGCCTTTAAGACATCATCGTGCAGTGCAGATAGGCTTTTCTGAATGTTCCCGTTTTGCAGGCGAAAAGCGAATCTGATAAAGGGAAGTCGAACGAAATGGTATGTGACGTATTCAAAATTTTACTAGAGCATAGGCTAGAATTATAATCACTTTCACAGTCCGCCTTAAAACGATGAATAACCATCATGTGTGTTATCGTTGACGGTAAAAGATTCGTCTCTGTTCAGGAACTTAAAGAAGAAAAAACTCAAGCAGACGAAATGCGGCTAAGTGAGGTATAGTCACAATAATCTTCTTTAGGGTCTACCGGAAATATTGCACCACATTCTTAGCTTCAATTTCGTTGGTGTCTAAAGGTACTTGGGTGGTCGGAACTCTACTTCCTATAACCCCTTGCAAAAACTTCCACGGGTTACCGTTCGGTTTACTTCTCACGATTTGCTTGAGCCAATAAAGGAACGAATCTCTCACACAGCTTGGTCGGACATGCGATGATCGTGGGATGCAAATACTTACTTACTGACTAATTTTTGTCTTCGCTGCAACCGTCCTGTAAGTTCTGCTTCAAATCTCGGGGAAAGCACGAAAAGCAAACCTAACAATCAACTAGTACCGGCGTGAGCTAGGAGAAAGGTGGTAGAACGCTGAAGTTTCCTTCCACAGTCATGTGGCATGCAGTCAGAAAAGCTACTTATCATTCTTTGTAAGCTGCACAAGCGACTGGGCTTAATCGATCCAGAGCAGCACAGCGATAACAACGTGTGAAGGAGTGGGTCCCGAGGGCCAGATGGGCCATTAAATGGGAGTGGTTCTTATCGAAACAAGTTTCTTACTGTGAAGTAAACCGACATCTTCATTCCAAGAAGGTTGAGGTCCTATGGAAGCCAATGAACAGAAAAGAATATTCAGTCACAAACAGCAACCAATTCCCATCATGGTCTGGGCTGGGTCTCGACTGTGGACGCACACCGCAACTGTCTGTCGAAGAGCGAATAAAACTCGACACCGAATCCTAGCTGTCGGATGTTTCAGTGCGCCATGTTTATCAAGTATCTATTCACTCTGAGGAGGGATGACGGTCTTCTCAGTAGAAGGTAGCTCCGCAAAGGAGTCGACAATCAGGACATCAGAACTGGTGTCAAGCTTCTCTCGACATCCCAAAACGGACGGCTCTCCTATCCCTCGATATCAACGTGCTGGACTATCCTATGTGGACACAACTAATAGACAGAATCTGCGCTAAATATGCATGTATTCACACTGAGGAGCTGAAAATTTGTATCCAAGGCTCAGTAGAGGATTCCCAGGATGCCATGCGGGCTACAGAGCAGGGTGAAAATCTTGTTTTTGAAAATCGAAGTTTTGCCACTTCAAGAGCAATATCTCTCTAATGTCGTAAGATCCTGAAAAAGGGAAGATAGTTTTGGAAAGCGGAAGGTTTGCGCTTTCTGATGGTCTTCTTAGCTTTCTTCTACATTTCCTAGTTGAGAAGATATCTGCGTCGAGTATGTATCGAGGACGGATCCGGCCACCTGAAAATCCGCTCCCTCCTTCACCATTGCAAGTGTGATTCGTTGGCAACACTCGGAATGTGTCTAGAAAAAATCTTTCAACGCAAGCAATAAGAATAGGGGCAATCGTCATCATCCGATTTGGTATTGGTATAAGCCATGCATCCCTCCTCCACTCACAGTTGCAGAATCGATTGAAAGGTGTTATATGATGGGGACCTTCGAACGAAACTGTATTGTAGTAGACTAAAAAACAACTTCATTTGCCCAGCGCTTTTTCTTCACGGTTGTCGTTTTTCCGACAGGGTCCCTAACAACAGTGTCATTCTCAGCGAGGTATTAAGGGAGAAGGAGCGAGCGATAGGCAGAGGAGGTGCCTTTGCAGCGCGTGCGCACATGTGGCACTTCTTTGCGGGGATGCACTTTCATTCTTTGTACTGCCTTCAAATACGCCCTTCTCATGAAGGTGGAGGAATGGAGCGACTGAACCTGCAAAGAAAATTTAATATCATGTTTTTTTCAGATATTTTCATTTTCTGCTGCGCTATACCCTCTTACCTATCTGCACCACGATACCACTGCTGTTACTGACCCCCAAGAGTACGACCCCCCATGGACCAGCCCGACAGGTACGACCCCCCTGTCGAGGATTTCCTCGACCGATATTCACCCTGCTACAGAGGAGTGTGTTCGAGACAAATAGGAGGCAGGCCCACGGCAGACGGTGTGGGTAGGCGGATGGTACAGAATTGGCTGTACGTTTCGGAACGATAAAGTGGTGGTGTGTTGACAAATCGGCAGCTGATTTTCGAGATGCACTTTACTATCCAATGGAGATTGTCCAAGGCATCAAAACATAGCTGCGAAACCTCCGACAGACGCAATCCCATGTGCAGATGCAACCCTTCCTTTTGTGTCTCCCTGCCGGTTTCAGCGCTGGACATTTAAGTTTTAGTTTTTAAGTTTAGGTGGGATCTGCATCGTATACTGAAACTTATGACATGACATATTTAACTTAGGTGCTCCGAGCGCTTGGAAAGACACCAAATCCAGCTATGGCAAATAAACTCGGCAAAGAGCAGCAGATTAAAGCCGATATGGGCGACAGGAAAACAAGTGAGAAGTTTTCTTAGTTAGTAAATTTATAAGGAAGGGCGCTCTTCCAGTTAGGGGGAGGGACGAAAGGCGCAAAGCAATACCTTTCCGCCTAGAGTAATCCAATTTCCCACGGATACGATTTTCAAACTACATCGCACCAATCGAAAAGCACGCGCGACGCGACCGCGGACAGTTAGCCCCGCTGTCCGGATCGTGACCAGCGTCTTTTCTACTTCCGGGGCAATTTGGCATAGCCTGATAGTTCTGAAAAGATAGAAGAAGCCAGTTTGTGCAAAATTAGGTACAGGGTTCGAACAGCGGAGCATTCGCGTCGCAGCGGACGCTGCTTCCCTCCCGTGCATCTGAAACTAACATTCTTTGCCATCCTGTCTAACCCCGTCCTGTGTCATTTGTCCTTTCGGAAAAGAAGGCGATTGCATGATGTCAGGAGTCGTTTACCTGATAACATGTCAACTATGTGGAGAAGAGTATGTAGGAGAAACAGGCAGACCCCTCTGCATAAGGATCAAAGAACACCTAGACGGGCTCAAGAAGTCCAGAATTTCAACCCCTCTAGGTGACCACAAGGATGCAGTATCATAAGGATAGCAACATGGTGGTGAAGGTTACGATCTTGGCATACGAACAGGAAATATCTGCCCGCAGAACCCTTGAAGCCCTGTGGATTGCAGCAAAGGATCCAAAGATCAACAGGAAGGACGAGTGCGTGGCGATTACTAGAGAGCTCGCACCACCCTTTACGGACCTCTGTAGGTTTTGATCTACGCAGTCGATACCCCCGCGGGGCGCCGAGGCGGGGTTCCAGGCTTCATTACAAAAATCGATGGACTGGTGAGATGCGCGGCGATCAGCAGGTACCATCATTTCGGCGGTCTCTAGGGGTATTGATCTACGTGATCAATCCTGGGGGCATCAAAATTTGTAATCTGACCCTTAAATTCAAATTCAAAATTCCTGGGGGGTTCCCTTTAGCCATATGACCCGACCCCAAAGGTGCGAAGCACATATAAAAGCCTCACTGCACGGTCTTCAGCAAAGGGTGCCTTCTAACGCTCGGCTTTTACAAAGGTTAGCGGGTTACGACATCGTTCATGGCTTATTCTCCCTTAGTTTTTCTTTCTTGTAATCTGAAATGTTGCTTGGACGAATTGTTTCAAAAAGATGCTTCGATTTGCAGGCTCCGAAGAAGGCGAGTGCGCCGAAACGTTAGCCGGATAAATCGTATATCAATCTCGGAAGCTTGAACAGAAGCAATTACAACCTAACATTCTTTGGTCCAAGACCGGATATGTGGAGGGTTAAAGGGGATCGTGGAACCTCCATCAAGCGGGGAGGGTCGCAAAGACACGACCATTTTCCTCGACACGATTTTCGCCCTGGCTGCGAGAACATTACACTTCCAGTTTGATGCGCACCTTGGAGCTTCCTTCTTCGAAAAATTGCATAACTTTAGGCGGTAGAAATTGTTACGCCAATGGCTTCCTCCTTATTGAAGGAGCTCCAGAAATAGTTTTCGTCAGAGCTAGCTGTTGGATTCTTTGAGTATGAGCATACCTTTTAAGATAACAGAAATTCGATGCTGGACGACACCATGTATGATATTTATGAACTACGAAACAGTGCACGGTCAAAAAGGAAAACCAATCAGGGAGCTGGCACTATGCCATTGGCTAAAACACAAACTATGTGAGTGGTTCAGGCTCATCAAAACACTGAAAAATGGCATCAAAAATTTCCATTTTTCGAGCGTATTGTTAAACGGGCTATCCCATTTTAACAATAAGCTCGAAAAGCGGAAAATTTGTTGTATATTTCTTGTGTCCATTTTCTCTTTCTTAGAGAAGTTTTGCTTCTCACAAGGGGAGGTCGTTCAGGGTGTGCCAAGCTTTTTCAAAACGGTCTT